TCCATCTAACTTGGAGATTCATATATCTCATATCATAGAGAAGATAAATTATTATGTTAATGCTTTAATGTCTAAAGCCCACAATATTGATGTTGGTTATGTCCTTATGTCTCATCCCTATGCGTAGATTAAGAACCACCTGATGAGTTGATTTGTCTCCCTTTACCTACTTGTATCCCAAAATAAAAGATACTTAAATTCTATTTTTATTTTTTAAAAATTATAATTGATTAAAAATAAATATTTTCAAGTACTTGAACATTATATAAATTATGAAAATTAGTATTGCATGGTAATTGTGGTATTTATAGGCAAAGTGGTTTTGAAAGCTTTAGTGCAGTTAACTAATTTAAAGAGGAACCAACATAGATAATGAATTAAAAAACTAGAAAAAGAAAAGAATGAGATTGAATCTTTTAAACAAATGATTATAATATAATAGAATATCTAATATTTATTAACCAAATTTCAATTTGTTATAGTATAATTAATTTTATTTTTATATTATATAAATTTACTATATATTTAGTAAATTATATTTTATATTATAAATTAGACTTTTATTAATTAGATAATTCTTGAACTAATTATTTACTTAAATTGTTACAAAATAAAACTTAAGTCAAAGAAAAAATAAATTATTGGTTTAATATGGAAAGACAACATAGGTTTGTCTTGTACCAGAGTGTATTCTGTTTGATCTGCTGTACAGAAATATCTTGACCTCACTTTCCTTAGCAAGAGGAATATTCTATATTATATATATCTACAATATGTATTTGTTGTGTACCATTCATGTAAGTTTTTTTTTTTTTTCAACAAACCAATTCTATAATATTTCATAAACCAGATTCAAATATCTTTTGAGAAGAAACAAATATCTTTGAGATTCATCTTCAATTTGTCTTTACTTTAAAGAAGAAAAATGTCTCATCAACTCGTCTAAACTCAAAATTTACCCTCTAAAATCATGGGTTCCTCAGGCTTCATTCACAAAAGTTTTATAACTACCATTCGACATTTAGGTTTACGTCTTTCCAAAAATCCCTACAAGCGTTTAAGGGCCACCAAGAACAACAAAAAGAATTGTGCATCAAAAGGTTTTGTGCCTATTTACGTTGGTGAAGAAGGTAAAAAATATGAGGTACCTGTGAAATATCTCTCAACCCCAGCTTTCCAAGAATTGATCACGCGATTCTTAGATGATGATCAAGTTGAGCCAAAGATTAATGGGCCTATAGTTCTTGTATGCAGAATAGAATCCTTTGATCAGTTCTTGAAGTTTGCTAAAAAGAATCACTAAGAGGGGAGGTTGCAATTTTTCTTTTCTCTTTTTTGAATAGAGTTTGATTATAGGTCCCATACAATGTTTAGATAATAAGTTTATAAGGATTATTTGTTAATTTTTTATTTATATAATAATAAATATTTCATCATCTTCAATACCTTTTACGTATATAAAGCTACCAGTTACATAAAATATTTTTTCTGTATAGTCAGAATTCACCAAATTACTCCTAATTCAACTCTTTTGCCATTATCTTCTAAAATTATTAGAGGAGTTAATGTGAAAAAGAAAGGTAGAGAAATACAAAAAATAAACACTAC